GAACAATAAAACCCAAGTAAGTTTTGGATGGATAAAAACTACTTGAGAAAAAATAAAGCTTGAAGTAATTCCACAATATAACTTAGGTGTGTACAAGTCCGAATCTTATTTTTGATTTGATTTATATCCAAATGGGGTAATAAGAAAGCTATTTTGACAGATACGATCAGTTATGTTTTAAGTTACAATCGTGACGTTTTATTACAAATAGATACTTTTCCATTGGTATAAGAGTATATTCCACAAATGTAATCCTGGTTGCGTCGTGTGGAAAGTTAATTCGTTATTAACTAGGCAACTGAAAGATACTGGACCAATAATGTTTGCAGATCATTTGTCATTGTAAATGGTCAAACATCCACATTATTCATTCTCATTCGAAACGTCCAATGGAAGCTGAAATGGTGAGAGAAAAAAGAAGACAAACAACAGCAAAGCAAAAGAAAGCAAGAGGAGTCCTCAAGAAGTGATAAGTAAATATATACATAATTATTCTGTCTAGTAACTATGCTTATTTTTGTTATTTAACTAACTAGTCCCGTTACGCTAACTTTTGTGATATGTGTGAACTAATATAACTGTCTTGTGTAGAAATGTTAATCATCTGGTTCCAATAATATTAAAATTTATAATTGTAGTTGGTACCGCACGTAAGTCTGACAGTTCTCTATAGCAGCTAGGTTGTGATGATTTCTAAGACTGTAACTGATGACAGTGGTAGGTTTAGTTATTGGCTCCGAGGAATGCAAGAGAAAATTAGTTAGCTTATAGTAAAAGATAAGGTTTGGCTTAAGACGTTTTTCCCAGAGTGGTTCTAATCTTAGTCTGTCGCATCGTTCATGGTATTCCAGACCACTTTCTAAACCAAGACTTCTTGAGGTAAACTGCCGTTGTACCCCCTCTAATTTAAGCTTGTCATTTTGTCTGAGTCCGCTAAGAATAAACGGGCAGTATTCTAAGATAGGTCGGACACATACTCTGTATAATAAAACCCTAGTTTCACAACAAAAGAAATTGCGTGTTATGCATCCTATCAGCCTTCGTGTTTTACGTCTGGCATAATCAGTCTGTTCAGATGACGTTAGGTTACTAGAGTATCTAATACCGAGATCTACGACTGAATTGAGCTTAGCTAGTTTTCGCCCATTTATTTCAAGAGTTAGATAAAGGTTACTGTTGCCAATACAAATCCAGCCGCATTTGTCAATGTTAAAATTTAGACAGGATTCAGCACACCATGTTGCGAGACTACTTAGTTCAAGATGTATTTTAGTAACCATATCGCTTAATTCATGAGTGTAGCAGGAGTAGACGACTTTGAGATCGTCAGCATATAGGAATGGTTTGCCTAAGGTGAAGCACTTGCAAATGCTGTTAATGTAGACTGTGAATAAAAGTGGACCTAGGACACTACCTTGCACAACCCCACTTGACATCTGCCTGGGTTGGGACAATACAAATCCAACTTTGGTTATTTGTGCCCTGTTGCTAAGAAATGATTTTAACCAGTTCAGTAATGGACTGCGAATTCCACAAGAGTACAGCTTCTCAAAGAGAATACTGTGAGATACCATGTCAAATTCCCTAGGTATATCGAAGTAGAGAACAACGACTAGCTTACGTGCTTCGCGACTACTAGTGATGCAGTTGAAAAAGTCGAAGTGGCAAGTAACGCAAGATCTATTTTTGAGAAATCCGTGTTGAGACCTTGTAACAAGATCTTCCCTAATTAGGTAGTCTGACAATTGATCTTCTACAACTTTCTCCATGATTTGTGAGATAACTGGGGTTATATTTATGGGTCTGTAATTACGGACGTTTGCCTTATCACCAGATTTGTAGTGTGGAATTATGAAGCTAGTTTTCCAGTCACTAGGGTAAGTGCCAGTGTCCATAGATATTGAGAAGAATTTAAGAAGTAACAGGGGCATATCACACCCACTGTTTTTGAAAATTATCGAAGCGAGGCCATCCGGTCCCGTACTAGTGGAAGGTTTAAGGCTTTTAACTGCTTGTACTATTAACTGATTAGTGAACACAATGCTTTCGATGGAAGAGCTAGTAAGGGGGCGGATTCAACAGGCATATGTGTTTCTAAACTGAAGCTTGCAAGCCGATCACTGAAAAGTTCACAGATAGTGGCAGGCTCATTGTAGATTACTTTGTCGTGAAGTAAGTAGGGGATTTCCCTCGCCGACTGCATTCGTTTTTTAAGAAGTACCGTTAAGTTATAAACTTTGGAGGTACTTTCAAGTGCCGTTAACTCTTCGTCGAGGTTTTTTTGAGAGCACTTGATAGATTCAAGAGACTCGTGGATTGAGAGCAGTAGTGATATATAGTAGTAGAATAGTACTGTTTCTTCAACTTCCTTAACTTATTGCGGTGTGCCCTTGGCACATATTCGGCTTGGTTTCTGCTTAATTTCACTATTTTCTTTGGAGCGACCGTATCTAGACAAAGGGTAACATTCATGTAAAATAGGGACACTACGGCCTCCAGGGAGTCAGTGGTAAAATGATCATCCCATCGACAGAGTCCTGGACTAATCGCCAGTTTTTGTGTTTGTAACTACGACATATCATACTCCCTGAATCTTCTTTGTTTCCTGTATTTAGTGGTGAGAAAGGCAGAGAGCAGAGTACCATTCTGTGGTCACTACTGGAAATTCTGTTACCAACATAGTTAGAAACTGGGATTGTGTTACGACAAGACACAAGGTTCAACATGTTGTCACCATGGGTAGGTATCTGGACATACTTTTGCCATTTATAACAATCGATAGTAACAATTAACTCGTGAAATCGTTGAGATTGGCGACCCAAAGTAGGTCAGGTACCTTGTTCAGCACTTCATCTTCCACCTTACCGACTACAAATGAGTTATGTATACATATGAGACGTTCCCTGCCACGCTTGCAGTCTCTATTTGCATGGTGTACAGCGTAGTCATCTACACCTGTGTGCACACGAAGTATAGAGGATGAGCACCATGATCCAGTTATCAGGGCTACAGTAGGCTTGGCGATTAATAATAATGTCCCTAGTTCAGCTTTCGTGTCGATTAAGGAATGTGCATTAATTAGCATTATCATTAATAAGTCACGGGATACTACAAACTGGCTTAAAACGTCACCATAACCTGAATCTATTTGTGCGTCAGCACCGAAAGAGTTTATGAATGAAAGGGAGGTCGGACTGGGTGTCTGTACATCGAGGTTGGTGTGCAATGAGGTGGTCCTAGGTGCCATGGGTCGTACCAGTGATTCGGGACATCTGGAAAATTTACCATGTGCTCCTGGATATAAGGGTGTTAGAGTTTGGGCCTGGGCTGATGGTTAAAAAGCATAGTATCAAAAGGTCTACCTATCATACCGATACACACCTTCGTGTTGTTATTATAACTTAAAGGAAATTCAGTCACAATTTACAGGCGGCAGCAAGATATACCTTACATGTTCGCTGGAGATTATACATACACTTGATAAATGTTAATCCCAACAGTATAAAACAGCCATTTTTACTTACGTACAATTATAACCAAAAGAATATTGTCGGGGAAGGTGCTTTGGTTGCAAGACTTTGTGGTTTTGTGGCCTAAGTTTCAATAAGGTGGAGTATGATGAAAACCCCTAAATATACCCGTGTTTTGACAGGATTTCTTCGTATCAAGTGTGGGTTTGTTTACACCCCTACTCTCAAGCAGGCTTCTCGAATGCAAATTATTCTTCCCCATAATTCGTCTCAATACCATGGTGAGGTTACGTTTGGGTGAATGTTTCTTAGAACAGCTTGCGGCAGTTCTAGCTATTTCAACATCTTTCAGTGAGGCTTCATTTGCAGGGACACTGATATCTAAACCAGTTCCTAGTTCCATTGGCAGGCGTGGTTGTTGTGTAGTTTTCTGAATGCTACTGTCAGTACTAGGTGACTGTACACGATACACTTTTGATAAATTCAAGTCAGAGGAGGTAACCAGATTATTGCTACGCATTATTCTGAGCCGATACTGTGTTTTATTCTGAGAAATGGTTCCAGACTTATAACTGCTATTCAGTCTTAAGTGATCCTGACATTTAGTAACCGTCGGTTTAGGGGGGATTTGATTACTGCCTACAAAATAACAAATGACCAGAATCACCCAAACAAAAGTGTTCTGCCATTGAGGAGGTATAGGCTCCCACGTGGAAATCACAGAAGGATAGCCCACCAGAGGGCAAGGACACGCGTGCGCTCCCACTTCTTTTCATTGCGGGTTTGCCGTCCCTGGAATTCCTTACCGGAATATGTAGCTATGGCACCGTCTTTGGACGCCTTTAAGCGAAGGCTGGACAACCATGCAGCGACACAAGGACTGCATCCAAATGGCCTATCCCCTTAAAATAGCATGCGCCATTCAGGGGAGACAATTAAACTCGTCGTTTTACTTCTTTACATTCTATCCCGTCTTACTCTCCTGACAACTTATTAATATCATTATTATTACGGTATATATATATATATATAATTCTTCAAGCTTAATGAGCTGACTGCTGTCACGTTTCCTATTTCCGTTTCTGTCTGTTAGTCTGAATAACTTCGCTAATTATATCTATTATTATTTTATTATTACTATCTCTTTTCTCTTGTCGACGATACCGAAGGACTAACTGGCGAAAGGACCAACTCCAATCACAGTAGTAACAGTCTTAACATACCTCATACTACAAACCACATATAATTAATCCCAGCACTACTCCCTTTGGAGTCAACCAAAGCTACGACAGTCGAGTGGCGGGACAAGCTACGCGGAAGTTTGCCGAAGATCAGGAACCTATACCTTACAATCAAGAAGCGAGCACAAAGAAATCAAATTGGTTTATACTAGCTCGTAAAAACGATATTGGATATTGGAAACTTACTAGCAATAGTGTTCATGACGATTATTCTAGAATATTCTGTGTATATAGGTATATGTATATATACTTGGTGAACCGGAATAGGCGATCGTCATAAAGAATATTCTTTGCTCAAATTCGTTTTTGTTTTTTAATATCTGAATGAGTATTTTATTCAATATTGTCATATGAATTTGTTTAACCTAATAAGTACTCTATGGTTTTAAGTCGAGGTAATTTAAGTATGTTTAGATATGTCTGGTGTTTACGACAAATCGAAGCATAGTATTTTGTATTTCGCAAACCGCATTGGGACCCTTCTGGGATTTGATGTCATTAGTGATATTTCAGACATTAATATTGAATTCTTCGAATACGTACTTCGGAGTATCAGCGATTTCAAATGTGATTGTAAGAATGGACAAGTTATTAATTTATTTCATTGTAGCCTCTCTAGAAAATGAAAGCCGCTGGCAGTACTTGCTGCAATCACTGTCAAACTTAATGGGCATCCCGCTTGAATATATATCTGCCAAAAATTTGTGCGCGGATAATCGGAATGATCTCCACAATCTTCTTGAAATTATTGATCTTCTAACAGAAGTTTCATCCTTCAGTATTTTGAATAACTTTTCGGATTGCAACCATGATCACCAAATGAACTCGTAAGTTTCTTGAAATATATCCGTTCGTAAGAGTGGAAAAATACGGCACTACATACTACTCTTCCAATTTGTACCATTTATTCCGCGTTCACAGTGAAACCATTAATTATTTTCTTATTGGTGAACAAAACAATTTTTCGCCACTTATCTTCTTGATTGGAATAATTTTCACAGTTTTATTCACTTATGCCATATTTATACAATGAATTATCCATCTGAGTATGTTAGTGTTGAAATTGTTTAAAATTTGGTTTTATCAGGCTTAAATGATCGTACATGCAGGTGTATCATCACACCGTGTAGAAACTTATGGGAAGTCGTCATCTGATGTCCTAATGGATCTTGTCTTTAAGCGACTTCAGCAACTTATGCATTGACTCCATTCACAGTAGTAACAAAGTCTTAACACACCGCATACTACAAACAACAAATAATTAATCCCAGCATTACTCCTTTTGTAGTCAACCAAAGCTACGACAGTCAAGGATGAACTACTCAGAAGTTTACCGAAGTCCAGGGACCTTTACCTCACAATCAGGAGGCTAACACTAATAAGTCAAATTGGTTTGTGCTAGCTTGTAGAAACGATATTGGATAATGGACTTGTTTATTACCAGGGAACACTCGTAAACTTAAAGTATGTGGGAGATATTGTCTCCCTAGTGAAAGACAATAACAAAGTGCCGAGTCTTTCGGACGACTTGGAAAGAATCACTGGTGTTTCGTACCTAAGACAGGTCTGACGAAGGACTGATCTTCGCCGTATCCTATCTTAAAACTATAGAGAATGAAAAGGCCAAATGTGTCAAACACTTCACTAATTTGAGAAGCTGATTCAAACCTGATAGACTGATTTCTGACGCAACCCTAGAATGTATACGAAAGGCGGCTGTGACATTTACCTAGTTATGTTTTTTCTGTACAATAACATTTAATATTTATCATTAGTCCATTGTCGGTCTTTGGGTGTGTATATGATAGAATTTGTACGTTTAATCCGATATGGTTTCCAAAATTTCAAGTTGCCCCTTAAATCTGCGCATATTTGTTCCCATAATTTTAAGACGTTCAAGAATTCGGGTAGACCCTATATGATCAGATACCACTGTTTCCAACATCTTAAAAATTCCTTTTCTATTTTATATTCATCATCCTTACCGTTCGGTAGTTTTTGTAATTTTTTAGTGTCCAGTGGAATGCTGTCGATCTTATCGTTGTAGTCGGTGGTACTCCTCCAAAGGGTCTACTACTTCCTGCTACTGAGTCCCAACCTAGGACGAAACAGCTCTCCAGCACTCGCTGATTTCCAATGATTTTCTGACTGACATAGATCAATGGTCAATCATGTTATCGTGAAGTCTTATATTTTCATATGAAGAAGAGATTATTCGCCTTCTTCAAGGGTGACATCTATAAATATATTTTGTAAAGTAGTTGTTTGTTGCTAAACATTCAACATTCTTATGCAAAATGTCTATTATTAGTCTTAGTCCGTTACACTATTTTTTCAAAGTGGAATAAATGAGATCTTCCGTGAATTGACGTTTTTGATATAATTCTGTTTTTAATATTTTCGCTGAAACAGAATCGTAGATGACTCAAAGAGAAGTAAATTGCACGGAAATGTTTCATACAAACTTAGGAATGACCACAACACGGATTCTGAATATGTTTCGGTGCCAATTTCCTTCAGTGATTTTCGATTTGGTTCTACGAACGAAGCAAAAGACAATCTAGAATATATCTTACAGTCTACAAATAAAGCAGAGAATAGTGATACTATTAGACTGGCATATTTACGAGAAAAATTGAAAGACTGTTTATCAGTTATGCGGCACAACAGAAGCAGTTTTAAAAACACAGAGTCTTGGGTAAATACTGTTTTACAGCCAGATTCAGTTCCCACTGGACAGGTAGTTCTACCATATGCTTCATTTCATTATTGTTGATGATTCGTATTTTTGAACAGCAAACTGATATGGGTACTGAAAATGGTTTCAGTTTCAAAGAAAACGATCATGGGGTTGGAAGTTTCTTTTCAGCTGACGACAAAATAAAATGCCCGGTATGAAGTGAATGATTTTGACGTCGTCTGATAAGTGTAGTTTGCAAGACTGAAACTCTGTAAGTGTTAAAAAGCGGCTATTACAGTTTTGGTTGTGTGACTTAGAAACACAAGTAAATTCAACTCGAACTTTCACACTGGATTACGCTGTCTTCTGTCACACTCATTTTTGTCTCATATAGTACCACTATGTCTTTGTTCACTTCTTTTCCGCTGGCTTATTTAAATATGATAGCATTAACTAATTTACTCTTTTGGAAAGATTCTAAGCTGATCTGGTTGTCTCCTTAATACATACTTAGTGGTACGTTATACTAACCATTTTCGAAAAAAGTAATCTCGGCACAGGTGACATTTCTAAACAATTGTATTTTAGTATTCTATATGTTGAAAACACTGCTTCTGTAGTTTCATTTCCATACGTTTTCTCATTGAAGTGTAAGAATGTAGAGCTCAGGAATTGATCATCACTAAGACAGAGTTGTTAATCTTTTGCGGTATACTCTGGTAATAATCATGTCTACTCCCGGCAATCGCAAGAGCTTTTTGTGCGTCGGTGGCACAGCGCATCACCCTGGAGAGAATCAAACAAGCCCTGTATGAAAAACTTCGACCGGAACAGGCTGGACTCAGGAGAAACAAGTCATGTATTGATCAAATCGCCACACTACGGATCATCATTGAACAATGCTTGGAATGGCAGTCAGTCACCTCTCTACCTCACTCAACTTCATCGACTTTGAAAAGGTCTTCGACAGCTCAGCGTCGATCGAGTGGTCATTTGACAACTACTTCGCTACTACTAAGGGGTGCCATCGACAACTATACATCTTATCCAGCAGTTATACGACAATGCTGGATGCTAAGTAATCCACAGCGGGAAATTTAAAGAAGCCTTCGAAGTGAGGACGGGAGTGCGACAAGGCTGTCTACTATCGCCAATGATTTTCCTGATTGCAGTAGATTAGATAATGCGACAGACAACAGGCAATGAGGAAACAGGCATAAAATGGACTCACACAAAAAACAACTTGGAGGATCTGTACTTCGCCGATGATATATGTCTGATTTCCCACAAACTGGAAGATATGCAAGTGAAAAACAACAAGTTGTCAGAAGAAACATCAAAGATAGGAGGGACTTCAGGTAAACACAGATAAAACAGAGGTGATGAAGATTCCTGGCCAACAACAATCAGCATAAATGGGAGAAACCTGAATGAATCAATCTCCTTCAGTTTTCTGGGAAGCATCGTTTCAACTGCAGGCGGGCGAAACTGACAAGGATATCAAAACCAAGCTTTCATTACTCAAGCCTTTGTGAAGGTCAACAGCACTCAGCATCAAAAATAAGATCCGGATTTTCAACTCCAATGTGAAGTCAGTGCTGATATACGAATCAGAAACTTGGCGCGTCATAAAGAGCATCTCAAACAAACTACAGACCTTCATTAAAACTTGTCTTCGTTCAATACTGAAGATCAGATGGCCAGGAATGACCACCAACATGGATCTCTGGCAATGAGCGAACCAACCCAGTAGGAACCGATTGTGAAACAAATAGGCAGGAAGAAATGGAGATGGATTGGCCATACTCTGAGGAAACAAACCACTAAGTGACATCACCAGACAGGCCGTCGCTCGAGTGGAACCCGAAGGGGAGGCAGCGAGTTGGTCGTCAGCGTGAGGTTGACTTGAAGGAGGTCATGTGAAGAGGATATGAAAGCGTGTGGGCAGACTTGGAGCGGAGTGAAAAAGTTGGCAGGAAACCGAATGCAATGGAGACGCGCGGCTGAAGCCCTATGCTCCTCTAGGAATTAAAGGAAATAATAATAATCCGACTGAATGCCATACAGCTATAATGGTTTTTCTGTTACTGATTTATAGTAAAATTTTCCGATTACCATCCTATTAATTGTTAATCAAATGAGTTTTCTTGTTCACTTGTCCCTTCAGTTTTATTATTTAGTTTACTTACTTATACTACTTTTTTCTTTTGCAAGTAGTCTACTGCGAAACACCTCACATTTAAACGTTATAAATCTGGCTGCAGTAGTGTAATTAAACCTCATGCTAAACCTCTGGTGGAACCATTGGCTATTTGTAGAAAAAAGCATTCATATGTAATGGATCCAAACAGTGTCTGTGAAGAAAATCAAGAACGATCTGAACAACCGTTCAACAGAATACTTAAGGCATTTCCAAGACTTGATTTAGACGGGCATGAAGAGCACATTCTTCAAAGAAAAGCGTGTAAGCTTAATTTTTTTTTAAACATTACATTTCTGTCAAAATAGAAATTTATTACTGATTCACTAAGAATAGTATATCTCTTTTTTACACAAATATTACCAAGACTACTTCACAATTACTGGTATTTCTGGTGTAAAACGTTTTCTGACCAGGGAAATTTTACTTGTGATAGTGATGATGAATCAACGTAGAATGTAGCATAGATGTGCATTAGTACAAGTTATTATGCTTCTAAGATGAATACAGACTAGGGAAACATAGGAAATGCTGCCGTAATATACAAGTGTAGATGCAGCGAAAGGAATACACGGGAATTTGCTACTCATAGTCATTGTTATATACGCTATTACGTTTTACTCTTGACAACCTAGATATGCCAAATAAATTATAATTATATTTCAATAGTTTACACGCAGTGATAAGTTTCTGTTTTTTGGTAATATTTTGAGCAAAACTGCTGCCTGTGATCACACCAACTGTTGGAATTGTTTTGTTTTTAATTGAAACTTTTATGATTTGTACTTCCATATATAGTTCTTATTATTTTTGAAAGTCTGAGGTCAAATTCATACAACAGTTTGAAAAAATTTGGGCATGACATTTTTTATAATGAAGGTTTTTGTATTTCCCAATGAATGAAAAACAAAACGATATTGTTTTTATACAGACGCTTCTCTATTTAATGCTAATAGCTTTATATATATTATAATGGAAAGTTTAGACAATTTTGTTTATTATATATGTTGATACGTGTTTCATGACTCATATAATTGGACAAAGTTTCTCAAAAGAAGAGATGTCCCCCTTTTTATATATAAGCCTTTCTTATGTTAATTTCGATTAATTTGCCTGAAGTTCGAACCAGATTGCCGAACACAGGAAACGTTGGAATTAATAATTTCAATTTTGCTGAGATTTTACAAATATAATTCCTAATAAATTTAGATTCTGTTATAAGTCTCTCTTTCTATTTGTTCATATTAGTTTTCAGAATACAAACATTGTTCCAACCAATATTTTGGGTTTCTTTCCATGCTTGTGCAGATATAGACCAATTGTGTTTTCTAAATTGTTGTAAGCTTGTGTTCCTGTCGAGTGATCTTTAGTTAGGCGTTTATGTTCATTCACTCTTATTTTGAGTGATCTGGACGTTTGACCCGCATATATAGTCGAATACACGGCACAAGATATTTTGTAAATTATGTTATTTTTATCCTATAGTTTGGATTGTAAGTTATGTTTTTACAAGTTGCTCACGGATTGACATCAGTTAGAGAACCATTGAAAACCAGGGAGTACTGGACAACTGCTGTTTCATCCTAGTTTGGGAATCATCGGAAGTACGCACCCGCTGGGATTCGAACCCAGGACCTTCCGGTTACAAGGCGAGCTCGTATACCATCCTTTTTATTGAGTTTTCAGTTGATTTATTTTATTTTTAATTAAATTCATTGGTTTAAACGTGGTGCGAATTATAATATTTTTGAAATTTTTTTGAATCGCCTCTGATGTACCACTTTTGTATGGCTCGCTCCCGCCATATGTAAGATGATGTTACAGGACTGGACTACTCTGACTCCTAGTTTAGAAATAAGGAGTGAAGTGGTAGAGCAGTTTTTCCAGCCTGTAGGGTCAGGCTGGAAAAAAGCTAGCGGCGGTCAAACAAAAACTTGGCATCAGTCGATGAAATCCACAACAGTTGGTCTAAGCCACGTAGAAAGGTGTAGACTTCCAGGCTGGGGTCCTCGGGACGGTAAAAATCTATGGTTGGAAACAATTGGTGACATGGCTCAAAACCGCTCTCAGTGGCGCAGATGCATCCACTCCCTGTGACTTATGATCTTCAATGAAACTGTTTTGTATTTCTTTATTACTCCTTTGTCTCACACCTCTGCTCACTGTTTCTATTATGCTTTTCTTGTACTTTCTTCTCTTGCTTCGCGTGCTACACGGAATGTGGCGACTTGAACTTCCGCACATTTGTGCAAAGTTCTATGTCGAAAACAGACAGACAGACAGGTAGAGCACGTTGACCGCTTCACTTATTTGGGAAGTACCATCAGCCCCAACGGGCTGATCTCTGACGAAATCTCAGCACGAATACAAAGGATTAGTTTCGCATATGCCATTAGGAGTGGAAGACATAAAAAGATTAGATGTTTTTGATCATAGGTGCCTGCGCTCCATTTCCCGTGTGAAGTGGTATAATAAGGTGAGCAATAATGAGGTTAGGCGTTGGTCGAGTGCTAGGTAAGGAGGGGAAATCAATCGACGAGGCTATGGAATTACCTAGACTGAGATGGTTAGGACATGCGTTACGTATGCCTAGTCATCGCCTTCCTCGACAATGGGTAATGTTAGCTGATATAGGGTCAGGCTGGAAAAGAGCTAATGGCGGTCAAACCAAAACATGGCACCAGTCAATGAAATCCACAACAGTTAGTTTAAGCCAGTCACGTAGGAAGGTGTAGACTGCTATCAGTAAAAAGTTTGAGCATTGTGGATTAGATCAAATAAAGTATAATTATATTTTAATAGTTTACACACAATGATATAGACCAATTTGTGTGTAGACTGCTGTCTGGTTGGGGTCCCCGGGACGGTATAAACCAATGAAGGCTAGAAACAATCGGTGATATGGCTCAGAATCGTTGTTGTCAATGATGGCGCAGATGCATCCACTCCTTGTGACTTATGATTTCCAGTGAAACTATGTCGTTCTTCGTTATTACTATTCCTTTGTCTCACACCTCTGTTTACTGTCTCTATTGTGCATTTCTTCTACATTCTTCTCTTGCTTTGTTTGCTACAAGGAGGGGGTGTGGGACTTGAACTGCTGCACATCGGTGCAAAGTTCTATGTTGAAACAGATAGACAGATATTTTTGTATGGTACTGTGACTGTTTTTTGCCTTCCTCCTTCTTGTCATTCTCTGGTTTTACCTTCTTTTTTCTCTTCTTTATATCATCTCTGATGAATTCTTTTTGGTAGTTGTTGTCGAGTAACATTTTGAATAAGACGTAGATGTTGTGTAACGGACAGTGCGATAGTTACACAGATAATGAAAGCAAGACACAAGCTGAGCAGAGAACTTATGTTCAGCGCAAATCGGATTTCAAAAAGTGCGAGAATAGAGTTGTACAGTCTACCAGTCTTTATTATCTTTGTTAAGGTTAATTCCCTACAGGTTGTTGTATCGGCTGGTCTAGGCAGTTAACTCCAAAGTGTCTTCCTCCAAGGGTGGAAAACAAAATATTGAATAGTGTTTATTTATACAAGTTTTAGTTTCATTACACTCTGTTATTTGTGGCATGTATACCAGGTTATGGGCAACTTTTTGCATTCTATACTTATTGACACTACTGATGACTCGCAAAGCTAATTTAGATAAGTCTGAGTGTAGTTCATTGGCCACTTTCCTGTTTTTCGACTGATAAATGTTAATTCATGGATAATCCCCATCCAAGCATTAATGAAAACAAAACACGTAGATCAGCGAAGAGTCTCTTTTCGCCGGCGAATTCATTTTCTTATCTGTACAATCGAAAATATATATGTGTTATTTCGTATGTATGTTTACATTAAGTTTGTCAAACTGAAATAGACAATTGGTTATGGTTATTTTAACTAAACAGGCGAAGATTGATTGTTGGAGTTACGCAATAAAAAATCAGTGAAGAAAATTAGGTGTGACTGAAATTAGGGTAGTAACAAAGGTGATGAGTTGTCATAAACAGTTGTTAAAAAAGAAGTTATGTAATAATAATAATATGCATAGTTTGATGAGTGAGTTTTACTCATGATGCACATAGGAACAAAGTAGATAATAAGAAATTACATAAGAGTTCTAAATGAATAGAAGAATTATAAGCATTTCAAGAACAGGCAAACAAACAAAATTAAGAAAGTGTATGCAGAAATGTTTCTTCAACTACTCTATCCTATTTCCATCGGTTCAATTCAAAGCTTTTGATTAATCTGAAATTATACTCGTGAATCTAGTCATTGAGATTGGTTTGTGACGTAAATTAAGCAACTTTCTCAACCATAAATATACATTAGTGCCACCACGGTGTTTAAACAGTATAGCAAACAGACTAGTGAGAAAATAAGTTTTCCTACATTTAAGACATTTTATTATTATTCGTTGCTTACATTCCGACTGGAATAAAAGGCCTAAGCAATACATCCCAGTTGCATTCTGCTCTCACCAATCACCTACAAATGGCTTGACGGTTCCCTGTAGGCATTCATTTCCTCCTCACATGACCTCTTCTGCGTCACGCTCACACATTCAACCCGTCGCTTCTCGAGTAGGGCTTCAGTTCTAGTTCTTTGCGTTGAGTGGTTTAGGTCTCCAGAGTAATGGATGCGTCTTGCTCTTCTGATCCTGCTTTAAAGTAATCAATCAATTCCTCTGTCGGTGGCACAGTGGTTAGGACTCTCGCCGACCATGCACATGGTCCGGAGTTCGTGCCCACGCCGGCGCACACCTGATATCTATGGTCGGCCTGCAAAAATTGGGCTACCGATATCCATCCTGAAAATTCCATACTTGTACCACAAATACAGTGTGGGATCAAGCTGTAAATCAAAATCAAAAAATCAAAAATTTGCTATTTGGGTGCCCTTCATCGTCTTTCATTGGCTTCATCTGTGTTGACCTCTCCCCAGATGTTTGAGCGGTGTTTTGAGGTCCCTCCTACCTTCAGCCTGTTCTGTTTCAGTTGTCATTGTGTCTTTGCTGGCACTCTTCTTCACTACTTAAAAAAAAAATAACCCTTAGTTTATTCTCAGTTCCTTGTTTCATTGTTCATTTATGCACTGGTTTAATTTTTGCTCCACCATCCTCCTCTCGCTTATCAGCTCCACGTGTCTTTACTCAGGCATTTCTCGTCTTGAACCTTCCTCTCGCTTTAGACGTCTATGCAAGTTTTTTTCCAAGACGCTTGCGGAGATTTCCAGTATTCTTCTGTTCAGGGTTCTTCAGTGATGTCCCTTGTCTTGGATGTTTTGGTAGTGATTGTAGTGGGTGTGTCCTTTGTAGTTTCCCCCTTCAGTTTTCTTAAAGTTGAACTTGAATCTTGGTCTATCTCCAGATTCTTTGACAGCTATATTTTAGTCTTGTGCTACATCTGCTCGCCTTTTCCATCTTTTATCCAGTAGAGTGGATTTCCAACTTCTGTAGATTTAGGTAAAATCTGTCTAATTTTTGTGTGTGCGTTTGGCGAGACTGACGTTGCCTTGCGTTTATCCATTTGATTGTTTTTATCACTATTATTTTTATTATTCTTTTAATTGTTATTATTTCTGTCCCCCATGACCTTGCAGTAAGCGTGATAAAACAATTTTCGGACAATTTTCCCACTGATCTGTCGTCGCTGCGTGCTTCAGCTATCAGTAAACCGGGATCTCTGCTGAGAAATGTTGAAGAAACCCAGAAGCATCGTCTTTGTCAGTTATTACGCCATGATCGTCAGATAGACAATCTCAGGAAACAACGAGCAATTGAAGCTGTTGAACGACGCATCCGAGCAGAAGCTAGGGAACGCAAGTTCCAGCTTATTAGAGCTAAGAAATATTTTGATGAATTTGTTCGAGAATTTCGCCTCAAAAAATTGAGTAAAATTAATGCTGATGAACAGGTAAGCTGAAAATCCATCAGAGACATATAAATTTATTTACATCTGAACGCTAATGGTGATTAATATTTAAGATAAGATAAGATAATAGCTTTATTCCAAATCAGTACTTGTGATACAGAATGGAATTCTCAGCATTTTTACTACAATACTGCATCCAGTTAGTACGTTAACAATAAATAAAGTTCTACATAGATTAAAGTTATCTCAGTCAGTTTTGACAACAACATATTAGCATGTCGGTAGCAAAGCCAAAATTTAAACAGTGTTTGAAGGTGTTAGAAAAGTAGATACTACTAGCATATTTACTGGCGTAAGCGATAGCAAAATGGTCGAGATATACAGAGAGTGAAAGAACGAACAAGAATGTTTTAAGTAGAGTTTGTAAGGAAGAGAGAAACAAAACAGCACATAACAAAATTAAATACAGAATGAAAAAAAAGTAGAGAGAAAACGTTGTACCTGTAAATGATGTGAGTTGGAAAGACGAGATCCATTTGTTCTACTGACTATTTATTAAGTTAGTAGAACAAATGAATTGGTTGACTGTATCCGGTTTTTGTATCCTAATAACTTGTTGTCGTTTATCACTATTTCGTTTGAGTTTAAACTTACAGAAAGCAGTTTAAAAATTGAAACTCACATTGGTATAGTCCTCCAATGTGCCTAATCTATTAATCTCAAAGAACACAGGAGATTACCATGAGATGTTTCAGTATATATATACTTGTAACAGCAAAAGGCAAGACACGGAAGCCAATGTATATTTTTCATTGATCAATGCTGTTTATATATACATATACAGTTGATATTCGTTAACCAATCACTGAGCTTGTGATTGTGGTTTACATTAAATGACATGAAATAGAATGTTCAAATACACACATGGTATTCTGTCGCTAATGCCGTAGTGAACTGTGGGAATATATGAGAATCATATTCCGCTGGAACACATCATCTGTATCACACCATCACATTTCGATAGGACACTAGTTAGTAACCAGCGTAATGTGTCTGGTCCTTTGTTTGGTGTAGACTGAGTTCTTTCAGTCAAGTTTGCAATGTGGCCACCATTCTAAGTGTCTCGCCATCACGGTACACTTTGAATTATTAATATTAGATGTTTAGAAACAGTCGGCGGTTTCGTGCCAGTTGGCATTCGTTAGCTGTGATAGCTTCCTGCCAATTGCGTCCAACCATATATCTACATATATATATATATATATTTTTTTTTTTTCAAGTATTGGTTTTTGAAAATTCATCTGATGCTCACTAGTGACTGGCCCTATTCGGGCAGTTAACCTGGGGTTCTAGTGGGAAGCCGTGACCAGTAAGGTACAGCAGGTCGAAGATGAGGCAGTAACTCATCGAAGAAGACATTGCGAAGTGGTCGCGCTATGTCGTGAACTGGCAGAAGTTAGAATTCAAGGACCATTGGATCGGGTCCCAGTGGCTCAATGGTCTACGAGCTCGCCTTGTAACCAGAAGGTCCTGGGTTCGAATCCCGGTGGGTGCGTACTGCTTAGGAGTCCCAAACTAGGACGAAACGGCTGTCCAGTACTCCCAGGTTTTCCAGTGGTTCTCTAACTGATGTCAGTTCATGATTAAATCCTCCATGCAATATATATATATATATATATATATATAACAAAGATTTGAGCAAATAAAAATCTCTTTTCAAGGATTCCGCTGTCATAGATGTACAATCGTTGTAATCGACAGTAACACCACTTTTTGTGTGTGTTTCTGTGTTAAAGTATGACAGTGATTATGAATAACAAATTGATTAGATATGTGAATGAATAAATAAATAAAGGTCAATTTAAAGTTCAATGGACATGCGTAAATCGGATGATAGGATGATGAAGGACATTTGAGGTATGTATGTTTGAAGTGTGCAGTATATGAAATACGGTGGAAAAATAAAATGACTAAAGTGTTGTCAATAGAATAAAATGTGAGAAATTTGAAAATAAAGTGAAATAAAAACAAAATATAAATCGGACATGCAATAAAGAAGGATAAAGAAGTTTTTGTCAATGCCATTATAAAATTAAAACCATGGTAACGAAAGTAGATCGTACAAACTGTTTTTGTCCATAGAGTTCTGGCTTTATATTATGTATTGTCGAAGTTTTCGTTATACAAAGCATACACAGTCGTATCCGTTCCAGCGAACTTTGTCTTTGTAAACCATATTAAAGGTCACATCGATTGCTACGTGGTTATTATCTACTATATGTTACAATATAGATTGATGAATGGCTTTACACTGTCTTTTCCTCAACCAAGCTGGGAGGTGCTGTCGAACGCGGCAGGATATTTATCTTGATAAACATCTTATTACGATAGCTTCACAACAGCTGATGAGCATATAAGCACACGTGAAAGTTAACAACTGAGGTAACATTTCCTAAGCATTAAAGTGCACCAGTGAACGGCAAGAGTAGGGTATTCGTAGGGTGGCAGCGAAAAATGTTTTTCTGATTATTTTGTCAGCTGATTTATATATATATATATATATATATACCTCCCGGATGAAAAGATACGGAATTCAAGTACTGAGAATGTGCGAAAGCAGTTGGAATGGGAGTGGACTCACCAAATTATCGAAGGGAGAGTCGATGATCTACTCCAGTCATCCATAAGACAACCACATGCGCACCGAGGGTGTGGCTATCATGATGTCACCAACGGCAATGAAAGCCCTGATGCAATGGGAGGCGATTTCGTCCAGGATAATGACCGCCAGGTTCAACTCCAAAGGAAGGAAAGTGTCAATCATACAATGTTATGCACCCACAAACAACGCAGACCTCGAGAAGAAAGAAGAATTCTACAGGCAACTACAGGCAACAATGGACAATACTCCAGCTGGCGACATGAAAATACTAATGGGAGACATGAACGCCAAACTGGGACCAGACAATACGGGAAGGGAACTCATCATGGGTAGAGAAGCTCTAGGAGAAATGAATGAAAACGGAGAACTCTTCGCCGACTTCTGCGCCTTCAACGAACTGGTGATTGGTGGCAGTGTATACAAGCACAAAGATATCCACAAGGCTACATGGGTGTCACCAGACGGGCAAACCAAAAACCAAATCGACTTCATCTCAATCTCAAGGAAGTGGAGGCGCAGCCTACTGGATACAAAAGTAAGAAGAGGAGCAGACGTTGGATCAGACCATTATCTCGTACAAGGGACAATCCAAATCAAATTAAAAGCTTTCAGGGAAACAGGAGCTGCAGACGGACCACAAGCCAGGTCAGGCCACAAAGGGCATCTTCACTGCAAACATAAGGAAAAATGCGGAGACATAAATAAACACTAGCGAAGGGACCAGCGTTGAAAAGTACTGGAACAGCCTGAAAGTGGTGTGGAGTCAAACCTGCATGGAAGTTCTAGGCAGAAAGAAGAGATAGGACAAACAGTGGCTCACTACGGACACTTGGAAACTAATAGAAGAGAGAAGGACAGTGAAACAAAAAATTATCCAGTGCACCGACGAGCAACGAAAACAGGAGTTGAATGCAAGCTACAATACGCTGAACAAAAGAGTGAAGAAGAGTGCCAGGGAAGACAAAAGAAAATATTATGAAGCCACGGCAAGTGAGACAGAACAAGCTGCAGGCAAAGGAGACCTCGCAACACTCTACCAGACAACTAGGTTCTTATCGAGGTAAAGTTCAACACTAATTAAGCTAGTAAAGGATGACAATGGAAAGTCAATCACCAAAGAAGTGCAGCAAAGCAAACACTGGGCTGAACACTTCTAAATCGACTGCAATCTACAATGCTTCAAAAATATCAAAAGTGGATGCAGAATTACCATTAGACATCAAACCTTCGACTACTGCAAACAGTAATGGACAAGGCCAGCCGAATTGGGAGTAGACAACAAAGTAGGAGAACCACAAGGCGGTTTTGGCTTCCTCAGAGGGACACACCAAAAACCAGATAGACTTCATTTGAATTTAAAAGAAATGAAGACACAGCAGCCTACTGGATGCAAATTTGAGAAGAGGAGCGCATGTAGGCTCAGAGGATTATCTAATGCAGGAAACCTGCAAGATCAAGTTGAAGGCCTCCAAAGAAGCTGGAGAAAGGTAAACAGAGATTTAAGTCCAACACATAAAATCTGAAAGACGAAGCTGAAAATGACACTCCTACTTCATTTATCAGCGAAAACATCGCACAATGTAATCAACATCAAGAAGAAAAGTGTGTGGAAAAATATTAAAACCTGCTGAAGAGAATGCAGAAGGAAACTTGTATGGACATCCTAAATAAGAAGAAGAGGTAACAAAAGGGATAACTTCCTGTGGACACCTGTAACCTAACAGAGGAGAAATGCATGGTGAAGCAGAAGGTGGACTAGTGCAGACATAAACAACCAAAAGGGAAGTAGAATACAATCTGCAGATCACTGAAGAGTGCCGTATCAAATAACCTTGTCAGGAAAAGGTTAACACACATACACCCAGTGAAAGTCAGTGGAGGGAAGCCAATCTTAAAAGAGGTGAAATAAGGGAAATGAATTGCTGATGGCTTCAGAATATTCTTGAGTTGACCACCACCCGTAACATGTTCAGAAATACCACCAGTAGTCTCAGAACCTCTAGTGAACAACAACCCTACAACAAAATTAGAAGTCTTGAAAGAAATATAGACCCTGGAAACCTGGAAAGCAGCATGAACAGATGGAAGAAGACCTCGGTGGATATACTAACGCCACTAAAGCACAAGCCTTGAAAGTAGGGGAAGGTACCTTAAGACTAGAAGAAGGGTTACTTTGTCCAACTGCCAAAGAGGCTCGACTTAAGTTAATGCAAGCATCAGCTCGGAACCATGCTTCTGTACACTTCAAGCATGAAATTAGACGGAATCATGTTGAAGGGACTGAGGGACGATTTACGTGGGAAACTCTCTTTGGGACAAACTTCACTAGAGAGAAACAAGTCGTGTGATACACCACGCATTATCATCGAACAAAGCTTAGGATGGCAGTAGACTTCTAACAATTATGTCATAGACTTTAAAAGGGTCTTCGACAGCGTCCATCATGAAGTAATTTGGCAAGTGTTTCAACATTATGCTGTGTAGTATCACAAATCCTTTTAAATTTCATTCAACAGCTACATAATGATACTACATGTCCAGTAATTCGCAAAGGAAAGCTCAGACAAGCCTGTGAAGGCTGACAGTTATCACCGTTGATCTTGCTAATTGTTGTATTCTGGACCATTTTACAGTCTGGGCATGTGCTGGACTGACAAAAAGACCCTAAAAGAGTGGACTCCGCAGATGAATTTTGTCTTGTGTCTCAATGACTTTAAGACTTACGAAGGGAAACCAACGAGGTGGCAGATAAAGGAACGAAGGCAGGACTATACATTTACATTAACCCCAAAAGGCACTAATTACCGTCAACAGGAGTAATCTAAGTGAAGTAGTCTCTTTCCCTTACTTGATCTAGGCGGCACCTTTTTGACTGCAGGCCGGATGGATGGGAATTTCAAAGTTAGCCAGTCATGCAAAACAGGTGTTGATTAATCTGAAATCGGTGCAGAGATCTACAGAACTTAGCACAAAGAATAAGGTTCAGATTTCCAACACTAATGTGAAGTCAGTGGGTGCTTGTGTACAATTCAGACACATGTCTGTTTCTGAAAAGCTTCATGCTCTTTCATCAAGCAACAACTGTCTTGACTATCCGGGTGTCTAAAGATCAGATGGCCGACCAGAAAGGATAAACAACACGGAACTCTGCCAGTATTCTAGATAACAACTTGTTACCCGACAAAATTGGAGAATGAGATGAAGTTGGACTGTGGATATACAGTGAGGTGACCTTCAAATGACATCTCACACGAAGTCTTGGAATGGGAAGCCACTGAGAAGCTATGAGTTGGGTGTCCGAAGGCAAAGTGGGGGGGGGGGAATCACGTGAAGACAGGAAATGCAAACCTTTGGTTAGTCGCTGAACTAGCTCAGAAATATAAAAAAACAGTGAAAATGTGAAGCTAAAACGCCATGTATTATCGTGCTTTGAATCCATGGTACAAAAGATTATAATGATATATCTTTTTTCGATATTTTTGATTACAGCTTGATTCCACACCATATTTTCAGTACAAGTATGGAATTTTGAGTATGGATATCGGTAGCCCAAATTTTGCAGGCCGACCATAGATATCAGGTGTGCGTCGGAAGGGGTTCGAACTTCGGACCATGTGCATGGTTGGCAAGAGTCCTAACCACTGTGCCACCGACGCAGTTTGTCTAGTTCATTCACTGTTTTGTAGGGAAACTGTGTACACTATTGATATTGAATATTCTTAAATGCATTACTGAAGTACATTTGAATATTCTGAAGACTTTGTGCACTTGTATGCCAATCATTGAGGATGACATTAATTTCGTTTTGTTGGTTCTTATTATTCTTATCATTTTTACATTACACATTTACATTTGAAATTTTGGTTTTAATAATATGCCTATTTCTGCTACAGATATTTCGAAACTTCTTCCAACAATTTCTTCAATGTCAAAAAGAATACCTTAATGAAATGCGAAAACTGGAACGTGAAGAAAAACTACAGGAAAAGGAACAAAGAAAAAGGCTTATAGAGACTATAGAACACGAGTACTGACGTGAATTCGAATTTAACTTAATAAACTAAAGAGTTTTATTATTTCAAGTTTTATAGCTTATTATGTTTATTTTTCATATTACGTCCTTGTCTATTAGATTAGAATGTTTGTCAATCATTATTGCTGAATGCATGTCCGTCGGTGGCATAGAGGTTAAGACGCTCGCCGACCATACACATAGTCCGGGGCTCGACCCCCGGTCGATGCACACCTGATATCAATAGTCGGCCTTCTAAATTTTCACTACCAATATCACACGCTAAAAATTCCACAGTTGTACCCAAAATACTGTTTGGAATCAAGCTATAATAATTAAAAAAAATTTGATTTTCATTTACCTCGTGGGCTTCATTGAATTTCACAAGTCAATTTTTCATCTTCACTCACTCTATTCTTAACAGTTCAATGTATCATTTCTCAACAGGGATGTTTCTCTCTGTGCCAAGTACATGTAATTGAATAAGACTGTTAAGAGTAGAGTGCTGTGTTATTTTACTTGTATTTCTCAGTAAAAAAATGCTTGAGTTTACGTTTCATTTGAGTTGTAATTATAATACCAGATTTGTTTGACTAGTCAGTAAAATCTTTTAAAAGACAGGTCTCATGATTTCTTGAAAACATCATCAGAAACCTTGTTAAACTTTGAATTCCCTCTGGGAGTTCAATCCACTTCATTCAATAAGATTCCTGTTTTCCAAATCACCTTTAAGCGTACTGATGTTGACTGGAAAAATTAACAATGTGTGCTAGTTGGTTGAGAAAAAAAAAACAGTGTGTATTCTCCTAAGCACAAATAATGAATGAAAATTTCAAGAAAATGATAAATAAGTGCATCCAACATTTTGAATTTTTGCGGAATTCAATTATCTCAAAATACTAAAATCATTCTAATCCTCATAAACATACAATTTGATTATAAATCCACTGCTTGCTGGTGACCAGCTTCAAGATGCATTTCTTAGAGTTATGATGGTCAAACAGTAGCTTATCGATGCCATTGGATGATGGCCTTGGTGCTGTATCGCCAGTCAAGTAGAATTTAGAATTGACAAGCCATTGAATATCAACTCAGTGGTTGAATCGTAATGTGGTCGCTTTAATTTCGTCTCTAGTAGGATTATGGTAACCTGCTACTGATGAATTGTCACAGGCTAGTAGGAAACCTCTCTCCTTGATTTCCAATAGTTTACCAACTGTTTTCAAAGCGTGGTGAAGCCTATCTTTTGTGGAAATATGTGTTAATTAAAGGCATCATACTAGTGTTCGTAATGTTTTACAGAATTGTTATTATCAGTCTTCCATGCTGTTTACTTTTTATCGTGTAACTAGATATCGTGTTCGACTGGAGTTGTTGGATGAAAATATCAAAAAGGAGCGTGATGAACAATCAATTCGCATGCGTGAAGAACAAAAAGTATGTTTTTTTTTTATTCACACCATGTTAGTGTGAATGGAGCAGTAAAGGGTATGGACGTTTGATGCGATAATATGATAATAGAGATGTAGACATGAGAATCTACAGAGTGACACGTGGTGAATTCGATTATGTGGTTAGGATGAATGACTCATTTGTAAGTAGAAAATTATACGAAGCCCAGATAACTTACTGTGCTGAATGTTATATATGAAACTTTACTCAAATGTGTAGTAGTTCAAGTTGCCACAGTTTATAAAATACATATATGATTTTGTTTTGACACAAGGCGTATCTGAAATCAACGTTCACCGTGATGGCGAGCCTACCTAGAATGGTGGCCACATTACAACCTGACCGATAGAATTCAGTCTTGACCAATGAGAGGGCTAGACACATCAAACTAGTTACTAGTGTCAAATCGAAATATCCATTACAGTCCTACAGGAGGTCATTCGTGAGCCCGAATAGCTGGGTGACGCGGGTTCGAATCTCAGAAGGGACATGATTTCCTTCAAGGTTGCAGATACCCCTTGCTGACTGGTGAGTACCAACTAGCACGAAACCTAGGTCCAAGGCTTCCTGCCGATTATCTCCAACCATCTAATATCAACATATATAATTATTCCCTTGGATTACGAGTGAGGTGCGTCGATGGCATAGCGGTTAGAACGCTCGCCGACTATGCACATGGTTCGGGGTTCGATCCCCGGCCGAAGCACTCCTTTACCTCACTAAGCCAGAAATAATGCTGGTAAAGAGGAAAGGTTGGACTAGCGTGAGGCTAGTAACCCCATCCTGTAAAAATAAACACTGCTAGAGAAACTTCAAGCCAGTAGCTTGAAGCCCTATGTTCCACTGGGGAACGTGTAGGAAGAAAAAAAATTACGAGTGGAACATAGGGCTTCAACAGCATGTCTCCATTTTCTCTTGTTTTCTGCAGTCCTCCTAAGCTGGTCCAATGAATGCTCAAAGACTCTCACCTCCACATCACACGATATCCTCCATTTCACCTTCGGACGCTGAACTTATCGTTTACCACTCGGGTTACACTCAAAAGCCTGGCGTCCGGTGTCATCCCTATGGTCTGCTCAACGTGCATCCGATCCATCTCCATTTTGTTTTACATATTTATCTTCTGAGCAATAAGTTCTTGATTGTTAAATTCTCAGAGTTTCTTTTTGTTCATCTTTTCGGGCCTGCTTTTTGATCCTCGCTATGGAGTCAGTGAAGACAGGCGTTAATAAGTCTTCAGTTGGCTGTCGGAAATGATTTTATTGACGCATGAGCTCTAACTGTTGAACGAGATTGAAAAAAGTTCGGGGCATGTCATTGTGTTGAAGCAGTTTACAAATTATTCTGCCGTCAACTCTGTCGAAGGCCTTTCCGAAGTCGATGAAGTTGACGTAGAGACAGGTTTGACTGCTATTCTATGCCTTGCTCGATGCTGATGCGTAGATTTGTAATTTGATCAGCACATGATTTGTCTTCCCTGACTCCAGCTTGCTCCAGGCTGAAGGAGTTCTGAATCAAGTGCACCTTTTATTCTCTCCAGAATGACGCTACTTAGTATTTTACTTGGTGTGGACAAGAACATTATTTCACGTCAGTTCTTTCAGAGCCGTAAATCGTCCTTCTTTGGCGGTTTTACTGGATAGCCTTTCTTCCAATCAGTAGGCACCTTTCTTTCCTTCCAAACTCTTTACAGTAATGGCGTGAGGGCATCTGCTAAAGTCTCTGGGTCTGTTTTCTGTGTTTCATTGGGATTCCATATGGTTCTGGTACCTTCCCGGCCAACGTTCAGCAACTTGATCACATTCAGGATTTCTGCTTTTGTTAGAGAATTGGTGTGCACTGGTAGGCAGTTGTGTGCATGCTGTTGGTGGTGGTGCTTCTGGCCGAGGTGCAGGTGATGGCTGGTTCAAGAGTCCTTTAAAATGATCAACCCATTGTTTTATTTGATTCTCCTCCTTGGTGATCAGGTTCCCTTGAACATCTTTTATTGGTTTCATCATCTGGGTCGATCTCTTCCCGGATAGCGAAGTGATTGTCTCATGTAATTTCCTGAGGTGTCTTTTACCTGTGACCTGCATGTTCTGATTGAGTTGCTGGTCAGTGTGTTGTAAAATTGTCTTTTATTTTTCTAGCACTCTTCACTTCTCTATTCAGTGTGCTGTACACTGAGCTAAGCTTCTCTTTCTATTTCATCATCTTTTCCTTCACTATTAGTTTTCAGGTGCCTGTAGAGAGCCATTTCTTTGCTATCCTCTTCTTTGTTCTTAGAACAATTGTACACGTTTCTTTAAACATTATTTTCAGAGAGTTTCTGTGTTCTTCCGCACAGATTTCCTCACTGGTGCTAAGTAGTGTCTCCGACTTTGCTCTGATGACTGCAGTGAAGGTGTCAATTTTAGTTTTGTCCTTCAGTTTCTGAATGTTATACTTGAATTGTGGTCTGTTTCCAGTTGCTTTATATGCTTTCAAATTTACCCTGAAGGTTCCTTACTTTAGATTATGGTATGAACCCTCATTTGCTTTGGCTGCTATTCTTGGCATTACGATAGCCACTCCCTCAATGTGCTCGTGGAGAAGAGATACTATAAAAAGATATAAAAAAGAGATACTATATACTACTATTAAAGTATGTTAATATCATCCAGTGCACAACTGCTCGAGACATTTCACGATCCGTATGTTTCGACTTGCATCCTTGTAAGGACTTTGTCGCCGGCTATGTTGGTAGGTTTTCATTAGCTAGCGCAAGCGCAGAGGTTGAGCACTTTGGTTTAATGTAATCCCATATTGTCTGATTTAACACCCAGTGATGTGCAGTATGAATAATAACTGAACATTCAGTTGTTATCAGTAAATATTCACTTCAGATAATAATAAATGATTCAGCAGTCTGCCTTCAGCCATATTCACTGATTAAAATTCTATACGATCATGAAATTAAACAATATCGTTCCGAATTACGGTTGTTGATGTTACATTTATGAGTGAATATGACAAAGGCACACACCAGTGGTACAAGTTATTAATTTTCTTGACCCTAACTCTAACTGTAGTTGAGACATTTTGGTTAAAAGAATCAATTACTCAATTATTTATTTGTTTTGCTTTTTTTAAATTTGTGTTTCTACTAAATATTTCACCAAATTTTAAAATGTTTAGATATTGAAGAATGGTAAACGGGATTTACGCCGTCATTTGGAAACAAGTTTACGTGAAACGCAAGAAGCATTTTTAAATAATAAAGACAGAGTATATTTCAGAGAACAAGAAGCGAAGATGCTTTTAACATCGAATAAGCTTTCCTTATAATTCTAAAGGAAATCATTGAAACCATTTATTTGTACGATTTTGTGATTAGTAATCGTATTTGTCAATCGACTTTACCCAGTCTCTTCATATTGTACAGCTTTAGTGTATATGGGATATTTTTGAACAAGTTCATTCTGGATTGACATATAAGTAACTTTTATGAGATAATATAAACTTGATTATCGCATGGTTCTTACACTTTTTTGTCATTAAATATCTGAATGTTTCTGAGTCATCTGTCCATTGCGTTGAAGGTTAGTCATGATTAACAATACCAGCATTACATCATATAGATAGTCTCTTTTCTTTTATGGAGATTAATAACGAGAAATGAATATAGAAGTTTATTTAGCTAATAGTCAGTTATTTTGTGAATAAACTATTAGATATAACAGCCAGTTTAGTTTTGCTGTCGTGTAGAGGTGGGTTAGCAACTTTCACTGCCCCTTAAAAGGTTAGTTGAGATACCAGCAAGGTTCTGTACTAGGAGGCGGACACACAACATCTTTCCGTAACGGTGATGGTTTAGGTGATGTGTGGATGTCTGAAGTCTAGATCAATTGTGCATACTTACTGGAAAGAAACACTTAGAGTCTAGGCACACAATGGTTCCACTGTGCTTCGGAAAGGAGAGTAGCATTTTTACTTTCTGAAGTACCGTGCTCAGTTTTTGTTGTGCTAATCGCATCGGGAGCCTTTTCAGGTCATGTTATCTGAGTTGTCTAGTTGAAAAACTGTTATTCTCTACTCATTTAACGTGAATTCTCTGACACTCTTGTATAACTGTATTTTGATATATATTTTTGTGTCTCGGTAGTTTAAACAGCCTAATCACCACCCTAATTCCAGCCTCATTAAGAATCCTACGTATGGGAACCTGATCTTCCTTCTTTATACTGCAGTAATGCAGGGGCTTTGAAAATGATAAAAGTAACATAACTAATATGCAATTCAAAGCCTCATTCCACTACAGTGCCCAAACCCGACCGATAGATGCTACCTTGCATATCACAATGACCCAACAAGCTACACTGACTGGAACCAATGTTCCTGCAGGTCCTACCATGCCATGAAGGTTGTTAGGATAGCGATTAGACTAGTAGTCAGTAGTCCGGAAAAAGAAACTAATTGACTGGTCGGTTAATACAAATGGGACTGTCGAAGAAGCTTGGATAAAACTTAGGAATACATTACGATGTGTCGATCCCCCTTTTCGTACCTTAGTATAACCTTCAAAAGTTATAGCAGAAACTACCTTGGATTAGTAGTGAAATAAGGTTGTTATTAAGAAAGCGAAAAAGTTTATGGGTTCGGTACACAGGAACAGTTAGGACAATGTTTTGGATGAGCTACGGAGAAATTCAGGACCTTTGTAAGTATATTGTTGATAAAAATTCGTATAAAGTACGAGACAGTTAGTGGTGGACTGTCTGCATTGCCCCAAAATACTACACGGAGATTAGACGTAGGACTGAAGTAAGTAATGGTATACCATCACTAATAAATGATGCAGGTGAGGCGGCCGAATCAGATCAAATGAAGGCAGAAAATCTTTCTGAATACTACCGCAATGTTCTCTAATCTAGTTGTAATACCCAGGAGTTTCGCGAGGTCACCTTATTTCCACTAAAAGTATCCTAATTACAGCAAGTGACACATTAGTGCTTTAATTACCGTTCAAACTGAAGCCAGGTAAATTCACCAGACGTGATGGACTACATCCTCGACGTTTGGTCTCCTTAGCGGACGTAATGTATTTACTGCTCACGCAGATATTTTAAACGTCTCTGATTCAGTCCACGCCATCCAGGGACTGGAAAGATGCTGTTATACGCCTTGTATTCAAAGAAGGAAACAGGTAATTGGTATCTGAATACTGGCCTGTAAGTCTGAAAGTATGATAGCAAAGGTATTAGAAGCAATAATAAGGGACCAGCTATAAGCTAATGTGGAGAAACGTGGCTTACTGGTAGAGTAGCAGCATCGATCCCAACCAGGACAATCCTGCCTAATAAATTTACTGTTAGATAGGGAAAACTGACTAGGAATCAGGGACGAAAGCCTACCGTTAGACACCGTCTTTATCTATCTTAGTGTAGCATTAGATAAAGTATCCCTTGTTAGGCTTCAGTAAACTAAAACCAGTTTCGATTAGAATAATGCCTGTGTGATTGGTTTGGGGCTATTTATAGGGTTGAAAGAAAAGGTTAACGGTTAATTGTGTGCTTTCGGTTTGGACACCAGTATCCAGTAGAGTACCACCAGGTGTTGCTTTGGGGACCTTGTTATTCCTGTTATACGTAAACGACTTGCCAAAAATTCTCACCTCATCTCCACTTGTATTTGTATTTTTCTGGAAAACTACAAATATTAATGATGATACGTCAGTCTTATAAGGTGATCTAGATAAATTAACTGGATATTCTAGCCTCTGGAGTTTGTAAGTTAATTCCATGAAAAGAGCGGTAGTGCACTTAGGTAATAGGTCTTGCACATCGTACTCCCTGGGAGACACGAAACCCCATGATGTTAAGAGGCACAACAACTAATGAATTATTGTCAACCATGATTTGAAAACAATTATATGTTACAATACAACTGCAGATAAGGCTTCTGGAATGCTATGGGCTCTTCGAATGCCTTTCAAATGCTCAAGTCAGTTTATGTTTAAAATAATATACTGGAGGCCTCATTTAGGATACCGCACACAAGTGGCTAATACATGCTTCAGGAAGAAGTCACTAGTCTATGAAGCAGCACAAAGAGTAGGAAACAAATTATTCAGCGGTATCTCCTATCTGTCTCACAAGAAGAGGATAGAATGCTTAAACCTCTTCCCAATATCTTACTGATGCAGCAGAGGTGATTCAATTTTGTCATATCGTATGTGGAAGAATGATTTGGCTGCTGATCCTTGTTAACCTTTCTATCGCCACAGGACCATTGTGAAGTCATCACCAAGAAGTACTAAACCCCAGACGAAAAGAATACGTGTGGAATTTAGATTCTGACATACAGTGGTCAACGACTGGAAGTGCTAATTCAGTCAAATAATATCAGCACTATCAGTGACTACTTTCAAAGAGAAATCAGATCTTCGTAGAATTGTATATTGCAAGGATTAACACAGGTCACAAGAGCCTAACATCCTATATTAACTGTACCTGTATCACCGCTGGGAAGATTGAAAGCCTTCGTCTACATTTCACTATTTATCCTTAAACTATGGAGGAAAATTGTCTAGGAATGAACTAAGTACCGTCTGAGTGCTGCTTCAGTTCTTTTTGCTAAGGGATTTTCAAGTCTTTTTTGATTTTTTAGTTTTGCACTATGTTACAATTTTCAAACACAGCTTAGGCGACATCTGCACTTACTTGGGGACCTTTTTGAAGACACTAGTCAAAGTTTTGCGAAACTAAACTTCAGAATACATTGAAAACTCTGAACTTATACAAGTTGCTCGCATACCGACGCAGACTGCTTGAAGCTAAATCGAGCATATGAAGGCTCGCACAACTGTCTGGCTCAAGGAACCTTTGATGTCGATTTAAAATTTTTCGAACACATTTGAAGATAGGTAACAATTCAAATTCAACACTCAGAAACTGTAGGACGAAACTATAAAGGACATTACTGCAACTGTGAGACAAAAGCCTGAGACAGTATGCTCACCACCTGAACACAGCAACTTTCCGACAGTAATGGGGAAGGAAACCTGTATAGACATCTTAGGAAGGAAGATGAGTTGCGATAAGGAATGGCTGTCTACACGTGGAAGTCAACAGAGGAGAGAGCTTTGCTGAAACAGTAAATGAGTCAGTATAGAGATGGACACGCACTTAATAAAGGCGTGAAGAAAAGTGCTAGAAAGACAAACAACAACCTGGCGAAATTTAAAAAAAAGGAAAAATTTGAACATAGAATATTCTTTCAGATAATTGCCTCTTCCGGCTCTAAAACTATACATACATATACCTATATACACAGAGTATTCTAGAATAATCGTCATGAACAGTATTGGTGTTTTTAAAAACTATTGATTTGTACAGATAAGTGAAATTACACTTCAAGAAAGATGTATAAGGGACAATAAGCATAACAGTGTAATAGCAAATAGAATATCAAATAAAATTAAGGGAATTTCCACAACAAATTGATGATCATTAAAGCCTTGATAACCAAGGTAATTAAAGCGTCTGAACCAACTATTTTTCGGGACATAGATTGGGCTTCTAAATTTAGATTAAAACAGTATCAGCAATATGTAATGGTCGGGATCTTGAGGTAAAATTAAGCTTAGTTGGTATACCCATATCACATGCTGAAAATTCCATACTTGTACCAAAAATACGGTAAGGAATCAAGCTGTAATCGAAAATCAAAAAGTCGAATTGGCCAGAGCAGCTTGCTCTTGCTCTGTAGACCAAGCACTTTATTAGCCTGCATTTGTACTTCAGAGGCATAAGCTGAACAGATGGGTATACTGTTTTATAAGTGTATAGCCGAAGAGGAAATTAGCGGAAAGGATATTCTCTGCTCACATTTTCGGTTTTTTTTCTAAAAGACAAGTTCACAATTAAATGGCAGCTGAAGTAGAACAAGCCGCAAGTAAGAGAAAACTCAGAACTTTATATCAGGTAATTAGGTTGCTATCCAGGAAGAGATTAACATAGATGAAACATATGAAAGATAATAAAAGAATAGCCAAAGAAGACAAACAAACGAAACAATAGGCTTATCACTTCAAAAGACTCTTGAGTATCCCACCACCTGAAAATTTTGCGAAATTACCACCGATAGGCACAAAACTGACAGAAAACATGAGTTCCGAATGGCGTGAAGATATTGAAAGCACTCATATCACCCATCAGGATTTTGATTTCGCCATTTGGGACGTTGTCCATTACTGTTTGTAGTTGTCTGTAGAACGCCTCTTTCTTCTCTTGTTCTGAGACGTATAGCATTGAATGATTGTAAGTTTCCTTCCTTTTGAGTTTAACCTGGCTGTCACTATCCTGGAGGAGATTGGTTTCCACTGCATGAGAGCTTTGACTGCTGTTGGTGACATCATGATGGCCACTCCCTCAGTGTGCTCGTGATTGTATTCTGGGTGACCGGGGTAGATTATTGTCTCTCCAGTTGATAGTTGACACCCTCCACATCCGTTCCATCTGCTCTCGCAGAT